CCCTCACCCAGGGTGGTACAGTGACCTCAGTATGTGGTCGAAGGAAACGAGGGGAAGGCTGGGGCTTGAGTCCCCACTGCCTGCCATCATGGCTGCTGTAGCCTGGTGTGGCTGCAGAATGTCTGCCCAGGCATGGGAGCTCCAGGATGCCACTCTGGAGCCCCACTATACTTGACCCTCCACCCCCAGCCCCAGCTTGCTCCTGGAAAGCTACACACTGCTCACAGGCTGTGTTGCCAACCAGCCGCTGTGAGCATCCCGCAGCTGTCCCTCATTTGGGGTTCTGCATTCAGCTGCAGCTGAGCCTCTGTAGAAATGAAAGCCTTGAATTCCCATCTCTGCTCATAGTTTTTAGCTGCCCATTAGGGCCAATCTCCACACTCAAAGCACTCACCTTCATCCTTTCCAGCTCTGGGAACACCTTGCTTAATCCTCTTCAATAAGGCTAGAATTAGCCCTAAGAAAACGCTCTTAAATTCCTTTACTGGAAGCCAATAAGACAAACAGCCTACTCACAAGTGACAGAAACCCCAACCCTAGCTAGTTTAAAAGGAATTTTATCTCACATAATAGTCCAAGGGTAAAGCTTGATCAGGATATTACATTATGTCACTATGGCAAGTCATCTCTCCTGTCCTTGCACATTGGCTGTGTCTCTGTCAACTTGCCCCACTTGTGGAGCAAGGTAATTGCCATAGTTCTCGAATCTTCACGTGTTTCTTGACTGAAGTCACGTGAAGATGAGTCTCAGCCTCCCTCAGCAGTCCCAGAGAGCCTCAGTGCATCTCATTAGCTTTGACTGGGGCACAGTTCTACCCTTGAGCTATCATGTGGCCCGGGAAATGCATATCTGATTGGCCAGACCTAATTCATATGCTTACTCCTGGAGCTGGGAATAGTTAATGCCATCTGAAACTAATGTGGATTCTGGAGAGAGAAGTAAAACCCTAGAAGAAAATTGGGAAACTATTATCAAAAGGAAAATGGATGCAGAATGTTCACAAATACATCCCCTCTTCACTCAGTGTTTTTCTTAATTACAAATGTATTCTGCCCAGTGCGCTATACAATTCCTTCTCTACTCTCTTCAAGATCTGTAACACAGTGCTTATCAAACTTTAAATGCAAACAAACCATCCGGAGAATCCTATTAAAAATGCAGATTAACATCCTTCAATAGTGTGATGATGGCTGAAATATGGGAAGAGCAGGTGTCACAGGAGCTCAAATAGGGCTTCTCACTGATTAGCCTCAATTGCCTCCATGAAATAGGAGACAGAAGGCCAGCAATGGTTTAGGGCAATGGTCTCAAAGTGTGTTCCCTGGAATAGTAGTGGCAGTATCACCAGGGAATTTATTAGAAACACGCATTTTCAGGCTCTAGCCTGGATTTACTGAATTAGGAATTTCAGAAATGGGGTCCAGCAATCTGTGTTTTAATAAGCCCTTCAGGAAACTGTGCACACTGAAGTTGGAACCAATGGGTTAGGGCCTAGCTACTCATGGCTCTTGAGCTAGCAGCATGCAGATCATGCTAGAAAGGCAGAATTTCTGGTCCCATACACAACAGACCTACTGGATTAGAATCTGCTTTTTTTTTTTTTTTTTTGCTGGGCGTGGTGGCTCATGCCTGTAATCCCAGCACTTTGGGAGGCCGAAGTGGGCAGATCATGAGGTCAACAGGTCAAGACCAGCCTGGCCGACATGAAGAAGCCCCGTCTCTACTAAAAATACAAAAATTACCTGGGTGTGATGGTGGGTGCTTGTAGTCCCAGCTCCTCGGGAGGCTGAGGCACAAGAATCGCTTGAACCCAGGAGGCAGAGGTTGCAGTGAGCCAAGATCGCGCCACTGCACTCCAGCCTGGCAACAGAGTGAGACGCCATCTCAAAAAAAAAAATCTGCTTTTTTTTTTTTTGAGGCAGCGTTTTGCTCTTGTTTCCCAGGCTGGAGTGCAGTGGCGTGATCTCGGCTCACTGCAACCTCTGCCTCCCAAGTTAAAGCGATTCTCCTGCCTCAGCCTCCCGAGTAGCTGGGATTACAGGCACCTGCCGCCACGCCTGGCTAATTTTCTGTATTTTTAGTAGACACAGGCTTTTGACATATTTGTCAGACTGTTCTGAGACTCCTGACCTCAGGTGATCCACCCGCCTCAGCCTCCTAAAGTATTGGGATTATAGCCACCGCGTCCAGCTGAATCTGCATTTTTAACAGGATCCCGCAGATAATGTTTGCATTTTAAAGTTTGATAAGCAATGTGTTGGGGATCTTGAAGAGAGAAGGAGTTGTAGAGAACTGACCAGTTGTACACAAAAGAATTGCCAAACTGGCACTTGAGCTTGTATGCCCTCCGTATCTCACAGCCCTGATCCCCACAAAAGTCATTTTTTTTCCCCAGTAGCTCTTAGGCAGCTCAAGGGTAGAAACAAACCTTGCATTCCGATTGGCGTGTGGTTGGAGGTTAGCAGAACAGGCATGTCAGAAAGAGAAAAGATTGAAAGTTGACATGTGACCATGAGAATGGCCAAACTGGTGCAGAATGAAGTGTCGCTGGAAAGGAAGCAGGGTGGTCAGGAAGAAAGGTGGTGGCAACCTGAATGTTTCTGGTAACAGGAAGCAGGTAAGGACTGAGAAAAAGCAGAGTAGTGGTCCAAGACTGCTATATAGAGTCTGTGGAACTGTTGATAGGTCCAGAGAAAACTGTCCAACAGAACCTTCTGGATGATAGAAATGTTCTGTCTGCACTGTCCAATATGGTAGCCCTAGCCCCATGTGGCTGTGGAACACTTGAAATATGACTAGTATGATTGAAGAACTGTTGGAAACATTACTAATAGTTCTAAAGGCCAAAGCTATACAAAAAGGTTCTCAGAGAAATGTTGCTCCCTTCTCATCCTCACTAACATATTCCAATTCATCTTTCTATTCCAACCCTTTTTATCCACCCTCTGTAAGTAACCACTTCTTCATTTCTGGCTTTTTCTTCCTGTATTTCTTATGCATAATGAGCTGATAGTGGTGTGTTTTCTTATATTCCCTTCTTACATGAAGTGTAGCTTACTATAGATTCTCCAAATTTTGCTTTTTTTCACTTGAGTATGTTTAGAAATCAATCTGTTCATAAAGCTCTTCCTTAGTTTTCAAAAAAGCTGCATAGATCTCTATTGTGTGGATGTGTCATAATATATTCAACTAATCTATCCACAGGATTTAGGTTTTTCAATTTACATTTACAGTAGAGAGTGCTTTCAGTGAATAACCTTGTGGTTTGTACAAAATCACAGCAAAGGAGCAAGATAATCTGAGGCCACCTATCAAACTGTGAAACCTTGATGTGCCCATCCCTACAAGGCACCTTCACACATTTGTCTACCCACTTCCGACTCCACACAGTCACTGCCTTGAGACCTGATCAAGCTGCTAGATTCCTGGCAGGTCTTCTCAGCTGCAGCCATTTCCCCTGCCATTCCAGAGTAGGGCTTTTTTTTTTTCTTTTCAAGATAGAGTCTCACTCTGTCACCAAGGCTGGAGTGCAGTGGCATGATCTCGGCTCACTGCAACCTCCACCTCCTGGGTTCAAGCACTTTTCCTGCCTCAGCCTCCGAAGTAGCTGGGATTACAGGCATGCACCACCATGCCTGACTCATTTTTGTATTTTTAGTAGAGACGGGGTTTCACCATGTTGGCCAGGCTGGTTGTGAACTCCTGACCTCAGGTGATCTGCCCACCTCAGCCTCCCAAAGTGCTAGGATTACAGGCATGAGCTATTGTGCCTGGCCCAAAGTGGGGCTTTCATTTCAACTTGCTCCTCAAGTCAGCATTCATGACTTTCTTTCCATCTTTGGTCAACTCCTTCTTACCCCTGGCACCCATTCTTTTCATCTCAGCAGAAAGACTCAGATAATAAAAATCTGTCTTTCAATAGGCTACAGTTGTAGAATACTGATCTGCTCCAAACATTCATTCACCTGGGAGTTATTCTTTAGGCTTCCTGTTCAATTATTCTGAATGTTTACTGGCCTATTTAAACTAGAGCTCCACAATAGGGTATCAATGGCATCAGGGAAGGCCATATTGCCTTAAAACACTTCTATAAGAGTCTATCTCCATTCATTGGGAGAAGATCCATTAGGAGTTCATGCACCTGGCTTTAAAAAGGCTTAAGAACTATGTATTACATTCTGTATTTTTTTTTTTTTTTCAGACGGAGTTTCGCTCTTGTTACCCAGGCTGGAGTGCAATGGCGCGATCTCGGCTCACCGCAACCTCCGCCTCCTGGGTTCAGGCAATGCTCCTGCCTCAGACTCCTGAGTAGCTGGGATTACAGGCACACACCACCATGCCCAGCTGATTTTTTGTATTTTTAGTAGAGACGGGGTTTCACCGTGTTGACCAGGATGGTCTTGATCTCTTGACCTCGTGATCCACCCACCTCGGCCTCCCAAAGTGCTGGGATTACAGGCTTGAGCCACCGCGCCCGGCTACATTCTGTATTTTTAAACACTGATTGGAGGGAAAGGTACTGGTTGGGGATCACCTGCCAATTCCTGTTCACTTAAGTGACTCCTCATTTTAGGTTAAAAAAAAAATAATTTTTTTTTTTTGAGACAGTCTTGCTCTGTTGTCCTGGAGTGCAGTGGCACAATCTCAGTTCACTGCCACCTCCACCTCCCAGGTTCAAGCAATTCTCCTGCCTCAGCCTCCCAAGTAGCTGGGACTACATGTGCACACCACCACATCCAGCTAATTTTTATATTTTTAGCAGAGATGGGGTTTTGCCATGTTGGCCAGGTGGTCTCAAACTTCTAGTCTCATGTGATCCGCCTGCCTCGGCATCCCAAAGTGCTGGGATTACAGGCATGAGCCACTTTGCCCAGCCTTAATATACAAATTTTATACATACTTCAAAAAACATATTTAAAATGCATATTAAACACATCTTTTGGACAAACAAAACAGTAAGTGGTACCTCCGACTATAAAATAAAAGAATCTGACAAGTGTGAAGTTAAAGGACATTTTATTTATTGACAGATTAAAAACATGGTGCAAAATGCACCACCGAACCCAATTACAAAGAACAGGTGTTAACACACAATGTTTAAATGCTACACTCATTTTTGGCAAAGTGCTGTATTGTTCAGTCTGTGTACAAAACTGACCATCTATGAACCAATCAGTATAAAAAATTTCTATAAAAACAAAAAAATTTAGACAGTGGCTCAAGAAAACAAGCTGCCATTTATGCATAGATTGATGTACAGTAACCTAACCAAATGTCCCTTTTGAATTTTCAAGTTGATGAAAAAAAAGTGTGTCCAGAAACACATTAAGAAGGCACATGGTACAGTCTACAATACTCTTCAGTCTCCGTAACTCACGCCCTGCCCTTATAAAGAAAATATGTTCACAATTTTACTTGAGAAAAAAACAAAGCCACTTAAAAAAAAATAACACACACAATTACTAAAGTTTAAAATCTCTAGAAGAAAACAACCAAAATACAAGCAAAACCACTCATACACTCCAAGCCTGAAACACACATCTAACCTCCCCAGGTACTGGTTTGGTTTTCAGAGGTCCACCTAGAAAACAAATACTAAAACTTCAGGCAAACAGAGCAAAAATGGACATTTAACAATTACACAATGTTAAAAAATGTCATAAAGAAAATTCTCAATGATATACAAACACTGTCCACTTAAGCTGCCTGCCTTTCAAGAGTAACTTCTCCCATGCAGAGGATACTGTTGCAAATAAAAGACATCCTCATCTGCATGTTTTCCAGTACCTCTTTCTCCACCCTAAACCACTTTAATGGGTGTCAAATTTCAAGTGAAACTGATATATGGCAAGGCTGACACCACTGTATTATGTAGATTTTCTAAATAAAGCATTTTATGTATAATTTTAAGCATTAAAATAAGTAGATAGGGATGCCATTACCAATATATCAGCATGGCTGATGGCAGTGAAACCATCCATGATATAAGCCCAAGTTGCAACAGTTTAACCAGTATTCATAGACCTTATAAAATAAAAAGATCATTTTAAAGTAACATTACAAACATATACTAGTGTCTCCCAGTCAAAGGAGCAGTCTCTCTTAATTGACTCAAAAAATAAAAACTAATACCTGGAAACTCTTAAACTTTTCCCACTAATCTATTTGAATGTAAATATCTATCTTCTAATTGGAGTCCTTCATGTTTTTGTTTCCGACTCAAAGCAAATGAGAATAATGAATACATAAAGATAACATATAATGTATTTCACTGAGGAAGAGAAGGAGCAAGGATTTCAACGAAGACATAATGATTACAAACCAGTGTGCTATACAGATTTGAGAAGCAGAAACAATGCTCAACAGCCCGCTCAAGTTTTAAGTAAACTCTCTTCTCACTCATCAAAGTACTGATACAACAGAGAATGTATGTAAACAGGAACAGTTTGCATGGGGATTAGAAAAATGTACAGGAAATTAACACATTTTTAAAAGCTCCCTGCGATAGGAAGTCAAAAATCCAATCATTTTGCATCTTTCTGCAAAAAATCCCCAGCCAATTGACCATATAAATGCATTGCCAGAGAAGATAAATAATGGATCACTAATTTTCAACTTACAGTGCAGTACACAGTTCAATTAGTTGAGGAAGAAAAATAAACATAAGATGTACATTATAAAATGTTTTATCAACAAAAACAAACTTTGAGAAACATGGTGCAATGTAAAAGCTAAGCAACTCATTCACAAAGCACTGCTTGTGTATACCGCATAGTCCAGACTTTTTCCAAGTAACATTCTATGTTATCAGTTAGAGCTACTAACAGAGGGGTCTTATTTCTCACTGCTTGCATTTTAAAGAAATATGACTAAAGCACATTGTAAACCACTAATATTTACAATAGCAAAAAAAAAAAAGCTCATAATAAAATGCATTTTGGCCATGTTTCAGAGAATACTTAACAATATTATCGTTCTGTGTTGTGGCTGGCCTTGTGTCTTACATACAGGAGATGCCTAACATCTAATTACCAAGAGCTTCAATTGAATTATATAACCATTTTCTTTAATTCTTACATGTGCCAATTTTAGGCAGAAACCACAGCATGATATTCCAGGTGGTGTGGTAATCCCAACCTTGAAAAAAGGCCCAATGAATGTAATTTTTTGTTTTCTGCACACAAAGCATAAAAAACTAGCCCCAGATAAGGCAAACGAAAAGTCAGTAAGGAAATCTGAAAAAAGGCTTTTGCCGTTATATATAAATCTGTTTATGCTGCCAAACAAAATCTCATGGCTGAACTTCTGCAGCTTGTGAGGTACTAACGACTTACATGCAATGTATGAAAGAGAGACACTGTGTATTCAGAGGCTTACAGCCTGAAGACATTAAGCTGGTCTATTTTCAAGTTACCAATGCATGGCCATATAACAAACATTGTACAAAACATACACACCTTCATGGAAACTATACCGTTTCTCCCAACTCTGGTAAACACAAATAGTAAGAAAACAACTTCTAACTCAGTTTGACAAAACTTTACAGACTTGGCCCCTAATTAGAAAACAAATAAATAAAGGGGAAGTCAAAATGGGAGGGGCAATAAGGAGAAAGGGGGGAATCTAGATTCTTGTTCTAAAGAGATATCCTGGCACTTCATCACAGCCAGGAGAAGAACATTCTAAAACCTCCATGTAACTACACATTTGACCTCTTCTACTCCAAACGCTCTAGTCTAGTCAGAAAAGAGCACAGCTCTTCCCTGCAAGTCTCCCAGGGTTCCCTGCATCATGCCACTACAGGGTTATTGAAAAATATAATACTTCACATAAGTATATGCTGCTTTTCTCTTTGAAAACATTTTCTAGACCTGTACTCATTTAATTAGGGTTGCAGAGGAGATGGAAAAACAAGCTGCTTGATGATGAAGGCAACACTTCTGTCAGTAGAATGTGCTTTGGATTGTAAATGGGTTTACTTAACTTCAGAGGAAATCAGTCAGAGTGGATGGCTCAGCAAAACACATCACAACTACGGAAAAAGGAAGTGACTGGCTGGAGGTAAGGAAATAGTTTTCTCTATGTTAACTGGCCTATGTGTGACTCGAACCCTGCACCCTGGCCTCATTAGCACCAACACTGTGAAGAACAGCTGTGGCAGAGAAAGTGCCACGGCCCCACCCTATCACCAGATTCAGTAGAAAGGCCCTTGGAATTTCCTACAAGGTTCAGTTCTGAACAGCCCCACTTCCAATCAGTATAGAACTCTCACAGTGACTCTGTGAGGGAGGTAAATGTCACTGCTCCCCCTGTTGGTGGAAGAAACAGAGGCCAGAGTGGTTAAAGATTTTTGCCTGCAGTTAAAACAAAAAATGAAAAGTCGTTTGGACTGCAGGGAAGAATACCCACAATACAAGGCAATTAAAAAAAAAAGAAAAAGAAAAAAGTTAAGCCAATCTGTCACTTTTCACTCAGATGCCATGAAAGACATCATCACCAGAAATTCCCCCACATCCTTGCTTGCCACTTGGTAGGGCAGGCTTCGTGACAGAGGATTTTTCACTCTGTGTGGAAATATAAAGCCTATCTCTTTTCCTTCGGGCAGAGAAAAATATAAAATCATTCAAGTGCCTACACAAGTACTTCTGAATTTATAACTGACGTGAGGTGAGGAGTGGGCAGAATTGGCAGGAAGGAATCGGAACGACTTAAATACTGGACTAATGGGTTAGTTACAGACATGAATTTTTCCAAATATAATTTCACAGGCCTAATTTAATCCCTCTGCATGAGGCAAGTCTACAACACCTGTAATGTCTGTACCACGTCATGCAGTCACATTGGAATTACTGAATGCGCTCTTCACTAAAGCTTAATGTACCTCAATTCCAAATGAACTGCATGATTAATCTGGAGAAAAACCATACACACAGAAATGTATCAAGTTTTCTTTCAAAAGAAAGTCCAGCCATAATTCCATTATATCCATGGCAACTATCACCTGTTAATGCTCATGTTAGTGTGTAAAAATGTATTCATCATATACAGAGAAATTATCAAGTACTGGTCAATAAAGTGTACAGCTGACCCTGAGAATAAATTTTTGCTTGCTCAAAAGATTAAGTAATACAAAATAAAATGAAAATGAAGATGCCTATTCTTGTACTTGGAAGAAACGTCTTTAAAATGCTGACTAATGTACACTCTAACAGATTTAAAGACACCCCCAAACACCAAACACTGTAATTGTATTGATATGTTTCCAGAAACAATCTGAAAAAGTGTACAAAAAAGTAAATGTTAAAGGCAAGGCATTATGTGATACACAGCATATAAATCTGGTTTTCAAGATAGTGTCTAAATACACTGATACAACTATGTGATTGGTTATCAATTGGTTTTAAAGAGACAACATTTTCATTGTACATATTCACACATCCATACACATATGCACAAACCAAGAGAAACCAACCAGCAAAACGTGAAATTCTTAGTAATTGTACTGACGTGGGCAGGGCTGGTGAACAACCCAGCCATTGTGCTTGACTTGCCGAGAGTGGCAATCCCTGGTAAGATTTTGGCGACGAAGGCTATTTCTATTAAGAGACTGTCTTTCACTATGTTCTTTTATCCACTGGGAAGGACGAAAGCTCTTGGGTTGTTCCAGAAAAGTTGTATGAGCAGCAAGAGCTGCAACATAACAATGAATGTGCTGCCCCATTTCATTTTGAGCTTCCATTCTGAAACAGAAAAAAGTGGGGAATGTATTAAATAACAGAGTATGTTATTAATGAAACTGGAAAAGTTACTTAGCAATTCAATTTGCCGCACTAATTTGTTTATGGCTGAATGAGAGCTTGTGTCTCATGGCTGACAGACAAGTTTATTATTCTGTAACCCCCCCGACTGATAGTGGTGGGAAGCAGAGCCAACTGTTACTAGAAAGATGCCATGTAAGCCCCAGATGGCTCACCAAGTAGACTGTATTCTAAAAACACACTTTACGCTTTGAATTTCATTTGCAGAGCACACACATTTATATAAGCTTGTCTGGGAGGAGAGCTAACATTTATTGAATATCTGCATTTGCCAGTTTTTTGCAAATATATATTTTAATTCTCACCATAATCTTAAAAGGAAAATATTTTAACTCCCAAATTTTACTGATCAGAAAGCAGTGTGCTCACAACACCTTCACAAGACATTTTCTGTCTATTAGCAAAATGTTCTAGGAAACATGCTTTAAATCTTTTAAGTTTTTATTTATCTCACAACAGGGCACATTTTGAGATGGTATTTACATGGCAATATCATAAGACTCTTGAATAACACAATCTCAAAATATGGCTACACACAGTATAATTATGTTTTCCATATAAAAAAGCTAATCAACTAGGATTACTCTAAACGATGTCAACACATAATATGAAGAGCTTTACAATTTTTAAGGATTATTTTACACAGGAAGGGCAGTTACATATTCTGCCTAAAATCACTTGAGGAAAACACTATTATCTTTTACTACATATATACACATATATGTACATATGTATTTTTTTAAGTAGAATTTTAAGAGGCCACATTAAGAAACTAATAGAAAAAAGTTAATATAAAGAAAGTTATTTTTAGGCTGGGCGCTATGGCTCACTCCTGTAATCCCAACACTTTGGGAGGCCAAGGCGGGTGGATCACCTGAGGTCAAGAGTTCAAGGCCAGCCTGGCCAACATGGTGAAACTCCATCTCTACTAAAAATACAAAAATTAGCCAGGTATGGTGGCACACGCCTGTAATCCCAGCTACTTGGGAGGCTGAGACAGAAGAATCACTTGAACCCAGGAGGTGGAGGTTGCAGTGAGCTGAGATCATGCCACCTGCACTCCAGCCTGGGTGACAGAGTGAGACTCCATCTCAAAAAAAAAAAAAGAAAAGAAAAGAAAAGTCATTTTTAAAAGGTCAGCATTTGGTTCCTTCCTCCCTATGCATACATATATCACACAGTCTCAAAGTGAATATACTTACTCTGTGCCCGTGAGTCTTATAAGCAGCTTTTCCTGGCCCTACAAATGTTAAATGGCGAACTATTAAATCACTAGTAAGATTTAAAATGCTATTGTAACTTTACTATTAGGACGTGGTCAACTCTTATTAAAGCTGGTTTACTATGTGCCATTAAAGGCATGTACATGTACTTAAGATTATGACAACATGTAAAACCTTCAAAAACAATTATTTATAAAGACTAAAATGCAATGAAACATATACCCTGAAGCCCACTGTAATTACAAAGCACCTTAATTTTCTGTGCTTTATGGTAATATCCCCAAGGATAGACACAGTGGAAGCAATTTGACTTCTGAAAGACATATGATTTATTTCCTGCTAAAAAAACAGATATTTACTACAAAACTAGCCTAATTTTGGTAACACCTAATTTCAATCTTGATTTAGCAAGACTTCATTATAAGAATTTCAAATCTCAAAATAAGGATGTTAAAAAATTATAGTTACTATTATAAAACTGTAATAATTTACAGGATTTTCCTATGTGCAGAAAGGATTCATATAAAATTTAGTGCATTCTGGCCGGGCACAGTGGCTCATGCCTGTAATCTCAGCACCTCGGGAGACCAAGACGGGTGGATCACTTGAGGTCAGAAGTTTGAGACCAGCCTGGCCAACCCCATCTCTACTAAAAATACAAAAAATTAGCTAGGCATGGTGGTGTGCACCTGTAATCACCATTACTCAGCAGGCTGAGGCAGGAGAATTGCTTGAACTTGGGAGGCGGAGGTTGCAGTGAGCTCAGATCATTCCACTGCAATCCAGCCTGGGTAATAGAGTGAGACTCTGACTTAAAATAAGTAAATAAATAAATATTTAGTGCATTATTTTAATCCTTTATGTATGGAAAAGTACATATTTATTTAACTGTCCTATATGTTATGTCTATCATATATAAATGCAAAAACGAACAAGCTATAAAAACAACATTCTCACTGTACCAAAACTAGAAACATATAACCACCTTGAAAAAGAAAGAAGGAAGAAGGAAAAAAGAAGAAAGAAGAAGAAGATATCTACGGAAACAAAATGGGGGAGATCACTGCCTAAAGAAGTAGTTTATAAAATAGTACATACAGGCCAGGTGCAGTGGCTCATGCCTGTAATCCCAGCACTTTGGGAGGCCAAGGCAGGTGGATCACCTGAGGTCACAGGAGTTAGAGACCAGCCCTGTCAACATGGTAAAACCCTGTCTCTACCAAAAACACAACAATTAGTCAGGCATGGTGGTGCACACCTGCACTCTCAGCTATTCGGGAGGGTGAGGCATGAGAATCTGGGAGGCAGAGGTTGCAGTGAGCTGAGATTGCGGCACTGCACTCCAGTCTGATGACAGAACAACACTCTGTCTCAAAAAAAAAAGTATATATGGCATGATGCCATTTAGGTTATAAGTATGTATATGTACAGGCACAGAAAAAAAACACAATCTGGAAGGATATACTCTAGGATGTTAAAAGTATTCATCTCTGGGTCATGAAAAGGTAATTTCTTGAATTTTTGCATATTTTCTAATTTTTTACATTGCACATATACTGTTTCTGTAAATTCTTTTGCAAAGCTGCTGACCCCCACTAAACACACACACTTTAAACACTGAAAAGTAAACATACAAACTCCAGCCTGGGTGACAGAGCAAAACTCCATCTCAAAAAAAAAAAAAAAAAAAAAGAAAAAAGAAAAAGAAATGAATCCGAAGCAACTCTAAAGCAGTTAAATCAATACCAACTCCAAGAAGTTATATTTTAAATTTTTGTTGGAATGCCTGAAACACCTCTTAATAAACTTGGAGCATGGAATAAAGTGCCAGTTAAAGTAACATTCCCCACCCAAGAACTTACCTAGGATATAGCCTGGCATGATGTAACATATAAGAAAATTGTTTTTCATTTTGGTACAAAGCAAAATGAAATCTGTTTAGCCTCATAAAAGATCATCTACAATATTGAGACTTGAGAGTACAGCAAGCTCTGGTAAAGTTAACAAATTAATGTCCTGCCTAAGATTTGTTTATATCTGGAAAACAGGAAATAGTAGACAGACAGATATAATAGATACAATACTCTTCTTAGTAGAGTCAGAACCTGGGCATGACAGCACTAACAATAGGGATATTCTGAACTGGCCCAAAGATCCACATCCACCTGGACCCTTGGCCTAAGAGAGGGAATGCCAACGCTCCCAAAATACTTTAACAGGAAATATTTCACTAAGGTACAGGATAGAACAGCGGGACTTTCAGCTAATTAACAAGGTGCTGGGCTTTACTTTAGTGGGTGGAAGCAATCTCAGATAGTTCCTGGATATGTTCTCTGGACAAAGATCACATAATGTCTTTAAGTTTGGGAAAACTTAAAAAAACAGAAGGCAGAGATTACAAGAAAGGTGACCAACAATTGCTTGGGGCAACAGACAGATTCATTAATCAAGATAATGACTGACAAATGGGCAAGGATCTATTTCCCAGTCTCTGCTGGGAACCAAAGGCCTCTCCTACACAAGTGGGTAAAATGGGGATGGTGAAGATAAACTCCTGGGTCTCCTTGGTATGGGAGGCTCCATGTGCTGTGGTATCAACAACCATTGGTAAAGCTCTGATTCAAGTTACAATCAGATTAAGAGAACATAAAAATGTAAGGGCTAATAGGATTATGAAAGGTAGGATGTTTAAGTCGGCTTTAAGTAAAGAAGTTATATACTCTTCACCTAATTGTTTTGTGAGAATGGATATGTCTGGCTGGAGACATACTTCCCCTACCTCGTACTGTAAAACAAAAGGCATGTACATCTGCCCTTCAAGACAATATTAATTGGCCATGCTAAATGGGAACCATAACATGGCCCAGGCCCACACTGTACAATAGAAGCTGGAGTGCTGGCAGGGATAAATGATCTGTCTGATAGTCCTATGTGGAATGGAAACTGGCGCGTATGGCAAAAGACTGTGAGCACCTCTCAGTAACAACTACTGAGACTTTGGAGTAAGGAATTTCCACATGAGAGGCATTTACTCCCTTGCTATGGGACACTAATTGAAGCTACCCCTATGATTGAAGGACATAAGATGATCTTGAAACCTGAAATACCCATGCTATCTCTGGGGATGTCAGAGAAACACTATGAGAAGGCAGTGCCCAGAAGAGTTACATAATAAATGGAAATGGCTTCTACAGGATCATGTTATGTAGGGAATGTAAGGAGGACACAACCACGAGCAGGGAGCCTCTTTCCACCTTGGACTGACTCTGGAACTCTGTGAGGAGCTGGATTCCACCGTGCCAATAGCTCTCAACTGAATGACAAAGAGCTTCTTGGTTGTGGATGGAAATTCCAAGGTGAAGAGATAGCATGCTGTTTTGAAGGATGCCACTTTGAGCAAAGAAGGTAAAAACAAATCAGCTCTGTGGGCTGAACTGCAGCTGTTTTCCTAATGGTGATGGAAGCCCCTCTGTTTGGGTTTTTACTGACTCAGGCAGTGGCGAATGGCCGTCCAACATGGCCAGGCAGAATCACAATGAAAACCTGGACTTTTAAAGGGTTGGCTTCCATTGGGAGCACAACCCTATGGAAATTTGAGGGGTACATTAGGATATGCTAATGGCCATCACAAGAACTCCCTTCCAGGTTTGGAAGGTGACTGGGATTGGAAGCAGATATATCCCCATGTACTCCCTAGAGGTGCCCTCCTGGGTTCATGAAATGTGTGGTACGGGCAATACAGAGACAGGCTACATCTAGACATTCCTCTTCTGCCCTCTCAGGCGCAAATGCCAATGGGAACCGTTCTGCCAGTCAGCAAAAGAGATAGACTACTGATGGCAGATTCCCTGGTGGGAAGGCCCTGAGCATAGCAAGTGAGACTGGTGCTGGAGCCCTGGGAGCTACAAATGGGTCTTAAGAAGAATAGACAGTCTCTGGAGTGGGCTTTGCTTACCCAACGGAAGATGCAAATGCTCAGAGTACTATAAAAAGCCCAGAAAAGAAGATACTGCATGGATGTGGATAGTTGACTTTCATTTCTGCAGACCAAAGAACACACTATACAGCCCATAACCCCCAACACCACTTTGGGAGGCAGAGGTGGGTGGATCACTAGAGGTCATGAATTCGAGACCAGCCTGGACAACATGGTGAAACCCCCTCTCTACTAAAAGTACAAAAATTAGCCAGGTGTGGTGGCAGGAGCCTGTAATCCCAGCTACTTGGGAGGCTGAGAAAGGAGAATCACTTGAACCCGGGAGGCAGAGGCTGCAATGAGCCGAGATCCTGCCACTGAATTCCAGCCTGGTTGACAGAGTAAGACTCCATCTCAAAACAAAAACAAAAGCAAAAACAAAACGGGGAGATAAAAGTATGAAAGGGTGGCTTACATTCAATATAAGTGCGACTAAAGGGGTGTCCCCACAAGATTTTCCTATTTTTCTGGTGATCTGAGGAAGAAAGGATGGGGAAAATCCTGGTATAATTTATGCAGTTCTAGCCAAGAGATGAGTATGGTGGTATAATGACTTTTAAGTTTTTCTTTCTTTCCCACAACACCTCATTTTCTTCCCCTACCGTATGCAGGGCTGCAACTACAAGTACTGGAAGTAGGCATGGTTCCTGAGCAAGAAGCTGTAACTATGTTTTTAAACCTTATCTCAAAATTCCTAAGGGCCTTATGGGGGTTGCCTATACCCCATCTTGTAAAACTGGAGTCAACAACAAATGCAGCTATATTGTCTAGGGGTAAAAACAGCCCACTAATTTTGCACCTACGTTATCTTACCCTATCTGAATGGGAGTGGACTGAGAGAGAAGTACTTGCTAGACTAGTATTGCTGCCTGCAATCTAGACCATTACGGTGGCTAAACCTAACGTCCCTTCCAGAGATTGAAAAATTTGGGAATAAACGAAGAGAAAGAGGATAAAGGAATGAATAAATTGGTTATGAACTGGGATCAATTCATTATATTAATACCTTGAAATAGGCTCAGATAAAAAGATAACACTGTCTCTCACCGGGCGTGGTGGTTCACATCTGTAATTGCAGCACTTTGGGAGGCCAAGGCAGGCGGATCACGGTCAGTAGTTCAAGACCGGCCTAACCAAAATGGTGAAACCCCATCTCTACTAAAAAAGACACAAATTAGCTGGGCATGGTGGCGTGTGCCTGTAATCCCAGCTACTTCGGAGGCTGAAGCAGGAGAATTGCTTGAACCTGGGAGGTGGAGGTTGCAGTGAGCTGAGAGTGCGCCAGTTCACTCCAGCCTGGCGAAAGAGTGAGACTCCGTCTCAGAAAAAAAGACGACACTATCTCTAAGCTCAGGTATACTAGATGCCTGAAAGGGCAAAGCTACATGTTTGCCAAGACCATTTCTGCTTTTGGAAACCAACAAGATCAATGAAACTGCAAACCTGAGTGGCCTTGCCCTGGGAGACATGCTCATAGAATACGATGATAGACTGAATAAATTACTGACTGAATGGGATTCTGGTGTTGTGCCAGTATTTTTTGAGTTCCATATCCTTTTGCTGAAAGGAATCCAAGTTTGAAGACTGAGGCTGGACTGTGATATTGTGAAATATATATTTGGTCTTATCTGTTTCCTGGCATACCACTCCTAAAATCCTTGGAATCTCCAATATGCAAAATGTGTGCTAATGAGTTGACTAGTGGTTGGCAGCACCTAGGCAGCTTCAGGATGGGATTTGGTCACTAGAAAGACCAAGGCAGGGTTAGAGTTGTGGCTTTTAGCTCCACCCCTCAAACTCTAGAGAGGGAAGAGGGTCTAAAGGTTAAGTCAATCACCAATGGCCAATGATTTAATCAATTACACCTATGTACTGATGCCTCCATAAGACCCCAAAAGTACTGGGTTCAGGGAGCCTCTGGAGAGCTGAACATGTGGAGGTTCGGGAACCTCCACATGGGTGGGGGTGCACAGAGGGTGTGGAAGCCCCATGCCCTTCCCACATGCCTTGCCCTATGCATCCCTTCATCTGTATCCTTTATAATAAACTGGTAAACATGTTCCCCCAAGTTCTATAAGATGCTCTAGCAAATTAATCAAATCCCAGGAGGGGGTCGTGGGAACCCCAGTTTACAGCCGGTTGGTCAGAGGCACAAGTAAAACCTGGGGCTTGAGATTGGCATCAGAAATGGGAGGCAGTCTTATGGGACTAAGCCTTCAACCTGTGGGATCTGATGCTATCTCCAGGTAGATATTGTCAGAATTGAATTGAATCAGAAGACACTAGAAGGTGTCTACTGCTGGGGGATTGCTTGCTTGGTGTGTGGGAAAAACCCACACATCTGTTGTCAGAAGCACTGGGTGACTGTGCAGTGTGAGTATTGCAGGAAGAAACTGAGTTTGTTATTCTTAAATTAAAAAAGTTTTCAAAGTTACATCATTTGACTTTTTGTACAGATGGGGTTACATCATTGATGTGACCTAGCTAGAAATACTTAGAAGAAAATAAATGTTAAGACCTGATATTCTATTTGAATTTGATACCCTAAATAATCCAGTCTATAAAGTCAGAGTTATATTCTAAGACACTTAGCAGAAATGCCAGTCTTATTTCTAATCAGGAGCAGAATTTCGTAAATGAGAATGCTATTATGTAACTGGGGCCATGCTACACCTAACTTTCTTAAAAAATCTAAAATGAGTAAGTTGTTTTTTTAATTTTTATTTATTTTTTTTGAGACAGTCTCATTCTGTCACCCAGGCTGGAGCGCAATGGCACAATCTTGGCTCACTGCAACCTCTGCCTCCTGGATTCAAGCCATCCTCCCACCTCAGCCTCCTGAGAAGCTGGGATTACAGGCAGGCACCACCACACCCCGCTAATTTTTTGTACAGATAGGGTTTCACCATGTGGCCCAGGCTGGTCTTGAACTCCTGAGCTCAAGTGATCTGCTTGCATTGGCCTCCCAAAGTGCTGGGATTACAGGTGTGGGACACCATGCCTGGTCAATAAGTTATTTTATGGCTCACCTTGTGCATTATGCACATGCTTTCATAAATCTCTAACAAAATTACTTTTGCATCTTCTAGTAACTTAGCTTTGAATTATAGCAGAAATAAAACTCATGCTCAGTGGACTGCCTACAGAGAGTAAAATACTTGTAACATACCTGGGACTACTTGGGTTATGTAATTCATCAGTCCCACAGGTGGCCTCACTGAGACCGGGGCAGGAGTTATGCACAGCATAGACAGACATGCTGGGATGTTCAATGAGAAGGTTTTCCATAGGACTTGTTTCCACCTTGATAGTGGTTAATCCACCTGCAGTAAAACATGGGGGTGGGGTGATAAACCAGCTCTCCTCCATTGGACATGACTCAAACTGGAGGAAGCAGGAATCACTTGTATCAGCCAAGCACTCAAGAGACGCCGGTAAACAGGAAAAGACTGAAGGGTGCTCAGCAGGTGACTCTTCATTGATGTTCTCCTCTTCTTCTTCTTCCTCTTCCGCTGAGAAACCAGTGCAAGTATCTAGATCATAGTCCATATTGCAGTCCATGTGTGTTGTTGAAGAGTCCCACAGGAGGATGATTATCACATTGGGCAGTCATTATAAAGTCACCCATCAGATTCACAGCACAGAAAAAGAAGAGATGATACTATTAGCTGATGCTCACATATCTTCTTTTAGTTCAGAAACAAACCCCTTTATATTCATTTATATGATTATAAAATTACTTCTGAGCACAGAAATTGTGTGTGTGTATCACTACATGGGATGGATTATGTTAGCTTTGCAGGAGTGATTTTAAGATTGTTTCTGTTATGCTGAATAAATAAGTAATGAGCCATATGGGTTACCACTTGTCTAATATAAGGGTTTTCTATTGAAGTGCCCTTGATCTAATAAATCTATAAGAGTTGTAAAACTAAAAAGTCTGATTGATTTCAGTCAATTTCACTGACATCTAGCACAGGTGGTTTCCTGCAATTTTTTAAAGACAAACTCCTGTTTACTTTTAAGGCTTAAAAACCCTCAGTTATTGGTTTTCTTATGCAAAAACAGAGATGCAAGTTTCCACTTTTACTGTGAAGATGAACCACCAAGTATCCAAGTATACATTACCTATGAAGTCAACAAGAATCCATTCATCATCTTCTTTCTCACTGAATTCTGGTTCTTGGTTGGAGGAAGAACTCACTTCACCCACAAACATTTTATTCAGCCTCTGGAACATTGTTAAGGCAAGACTGAGAGTTTGGCTGGATGTCTTTTACAGCCGAGATTTCAAAACCTTGTCTTCAGTTGGCCTGACAGTACCAACAGGAGATTAAAGTGCACAGGATGCTTATTCAACTTAGATGAAAATCAAGAAAAGTCATTATCCCTAAAATGAAACAGAAAGTTATTTCAAATCAGGGTACACATATGTACATACGTGCATACACATATACACATACCCCTAGAAGAAAGTATATGCCTTGGCCTACATTCTACAGCTATTCCCTTGGTGCAGGAGTCAAACACAAGACATGCAACGTAATGTTTTGTAAATACCCTTACTTACTCAAATTCAACCTATAAATATCTTAATATATGAAATAAAAGGAAAGGAGTTGGTTCTTTTTTGTATCTATGCTTTTATAATAAGGGATGAATCTGAGTAATATCCTTCAAACTCTTCTGCAAGCAGATGAGCAAATTCTAGATATTAACAGTCTTGCTATGTGATATTCAACTGCCCAGAAGTCCCAGCAACAGTGCCTGGTGACCCTCCTCTGGCTCATTTTCCCTTCCACTCTGTACTTCTTGTCTATAACTGAAGCATACCTAATACACTTAAAATCTATAAGCCCAGCAAGCATACTTTGAACTTCTAAACTATTCCTACAGCTGGCACAGAGAAATTTATACTGTAGAAAACTGAGCTTGGCCGCACCTAGCACGGGAAATACCCTTTCTGTGTAGCAGCTCAGCAGGTGGGTGCTGGGGTCAGCCACTTGCATTCAAACCTTGGCTGGCTGCTCACTCGCTGTGTGAGTTAGAAAGTTATATGACTACAGTTGGCAACAGCTCCTACCTTAGGGAATACTGGTGTACTGAGATACATATGCCCATCAGGCAGCGAGGTAGAAATGGATGAATAAATCTAGAACTCCTGCCTGCTTCCCTCTACCACTCTTATCCTAGATTAAGCCAAACTGTTGTCTCTCTGGGACTTTGCCAAAACTACCTCCTAGACAGTCTCCCTGATCCTACTCTTGTTAAAGGCAATGGACTTAGCAAAACACTTGGAATAAAGTCTTCAGTCCAGGTCAACTGTTATTCTACATGTATTTACTGAGTATCTGTTATGCATCAGGTGCAGTGCTGGGCAGAAGGCTATGAACAAGGCCCTCCCACAGTTTAACAACCTAGTGTGTGATGAATGCCATGGAAGAAGTACTTGGTGTTCTCTAGGCTACCTGAGTGGACTCCTGCCATAAATGCCTTAACTCTTGAGTGACTGAGATCAGGAATGGAGGAAGGAGGCAAAGGAACACTATGGAAGCCTGCGCATAAGTTGAGAATGTGGCATCTTCCGTACTGCTCAAGGTCCAGAGGGAGGGTCACAAGAGCAGACTGGGGAAGCTGATCAGGAACCAGGTCCTGCATGGCCTAGTAAGCCAGGGAAAGAGGGTGGGAAAAGTCAAAGACCTAGGTTTCTGGCTTGGCCAAAAGAGGGGATTGTGGGACCATTTAGGGAAATAGGAATGAATATTGCAGGAAGTATAGGGTAGGCATTTTGAACATGGTAAATTTGGAGAATATGCAAAACAGTGCAATTGGAGATGTCCAGCATGCAGCGGGATGTAGAGCTTTGAAACTCTGGAGTGTGGTCTCAGCTAGGGGCACAGATTTGGGAGCTGTCAACACAAAGACAATGATAAAAAGCATAGGAATGGATGCGGTGGGTGTGGAAGCTCATGTCTGCAATCCTAGCATTTTGGGAGGCCGAGGCCAGAGGACCGCTTGAGCCTAGGAGTTGGAGACCAGCCTGGGCAACGAAGTGAGAAACTGTTTCTACAAAAAAATTTCAGGCTCCTGACAGTTCACTTTCAAAATAATCTCTAGCTGTAAAAGTCATTGGGATCTGTAGCTAATGAGATTACAGGTTCAGTTCCTTGTGTATAAACTGGACTGCTACAATTGTTTGGCACACTACTACACAAGTAAAACATTTCAAATAAATGACATTAGAACACTTTGTGGTCACAATTCATCTTCTTCAGCCATTAATTATTAAAAATGGGTAAACAGGAAGTATCACTTGCATAACCAGTCTTCCTGAAAACTTCTGGAAAGCAACATGGCCAAATCATGAAGACTAGAGCTGCAGAAGAATTCAAAGTCAGCTTTATGCTCTATGTAAGAGAAACGAGAAGAAAAGTGGGTTCTGTAGTTTGTTGGACCTGCTGTGGTGTGATAGCTGTATCCCAAGATGAGTTATCATAAGGTCTAATGTAAATAAAGATTTTTTGAGGATACATGCTAGGAGAGAAAAGTAAATTTTCAAAATCCTTCCTTTATTTTAAATCATGGAGGCAGACATTGGCCCCACATACAATTCTGTGTTTGCTGAACCAGCGGAGAGAATAAGCCCAATTCTCCAGAGCATGGTGCTGGACTCTAGCCCTGAATCAGCTATAGCCACTGGGAGGGGACAACCACACAGGGGAACCTTTGCTTGTCCTGAGCAAATGCCTTGTCCCCCAGGTCAGACAACTGGCAGCTATAAGGCCGAAAATGCATGGCAAATCTGCTGCGACCATGTGGGAAGAACACAGAATGGAGTTCCTGGGGAGGGCAGAAGGGGCCTGGCCATCTGTAGCAGCAGTTCTGACTGTGGCTCTACCACAGGTGGCTGGAGCTAAACTGGCCCTTCTGAGCTTCCTTCTCACCACTGGGAAAATGGGGAGACTGTGCTGAATCACCTCATCACTCTCTTTCCCCCCAAACTTCTAGCACAAAAAAGTGAGGCTGGTTTAACTAGCAAAGCCAAGTTCCTTTGGCCCTGCTTTTCGCAAGTGTCACAAAGGGCAAGGAGCTATTGGAGAGACCCTCCCTCCATTGCTAAAACTGTCCACTGAGGTAGCCACCAGGCATATTATGCAAATGAACACTTGACATGTGACTAGTATGATCGAGAAACTGCATTTTTCATTTTACTATTTAATCCATTTACTAAGTTTAATCCAGTTAAACGTAAAAGCTGATAATATAGTTGTTTTTTTTTTTTTTTAACTTTCAAGTATGTTTGGAATAGTTAGGGTATGTTAATCCACTTATTCACCTTTACATTTTATGGTATCTAAATATAGATCAAGTACATCATATGAAAACTTTGTATCTGAATTGAGATGTGCTGAATGTGTAAAAAAAAAAAACACACTAGAGTGTATTTCAAAGACTTAGTAGCCCCCAAAATCTAAAAGTTTTTATACTGATTGCATGTTGAAAAAATAATTTTAGTATATTAAATACATTAATAAAAATAAACTTTTTCCTTTTTAAATATGGCTACTAGAAAATTCAAACATACATGTAGCTCACATTATCTATTTCTGTTGAACAGGGCTGTTCTAGAAAAATCTCCCTAAAATCTTAACGGCCTACCCTCCCACTGATGACCCAGAGACTGTCCCTGCCCAGTCACTGCTACTGTTGACCTTGGCTCCTGCCCAGGGATGGAGGCTCTTGATGGGGCTGGTTCTATGCGGAGGTAAATGAAAAAGCAGAGCTTTAGACTCCTCTCCTCCCCAGATCACTAATATTCACAACACTAGGGCAATGATATAATGAAAGTTAAAATGCCAGAGAAAGCATGTGTCCTAAGAGGACAAATTTACAATACAGTTCTGGAATTCAGCAAAGAGGTAAAGCAAAGGTTAGGTGGAGTAGCACTGTTGTTCTCTGAGGCACCTGCAAGCTTTCAGCTTTAATCAGCCTCAGCCAAGCAGTTTCCCCAAAAGAGAAAAGAAACCCCCAACAGAGAAAAGAAACAGTGTCTCGGTGCTATCATTTCAAGAAGGCAGCTTTGTCCCTGTTCTGCTTGGCTCAAAAGACCTCCATCCCTTCCTTTGAAAAATAATGTCTTTTTAATTATAAAATGAACAAAGCCACATTACACAAAGTTTAGAAAATAAGAAAAATAAGTATTATTCCATTGCCTTGTTCCCATCACTTAATATATTGGTGCTTTTTTTTTCTGATTTTTTATTCTACACATAGTGTTTCTTTTTACCATAGTTGTAGTCTTGTGAATGCACTGTTTTGTATCTCATATCTCACTGTTACTTAACGTTTTATCATCAATGTTTTTCCTATTTTACATGAGCAGAGATGTTTGTAGGCAGAGAAAGGTGGCTGACTGAGTCTAATACACATGGGGAAGAACGTTCTAGTTCGACTACTTAGAAAAGGAAATTGTTAATTTGAAAGATCTTGTTAGCATTACTTATTTTCTCACTTTTAAGATAGGTAGCCCACCAAGAGGCAGTATGTTGTGGTACCTAAATAAAGCCTGGCTCTGAGGCTGGGCACAGTGGCTCATGTCTATAATCCCAGCGCTTTGGGATGCCAAGGCAGGAGGATCACTTTAAGCCAAGAGTTCAAAACCAGCCTGGGCAACAAAGAAAGGCCCCATCTCTACAAAAAATAAATTAGCTGGGTGTGGTGGTGTGTGCATGTGGTTCCAGCTATCTGGTAGGCTGAAGTAGGAAGATCGCTTGAGCCCATGAGTTTCAAGCTGCAGTGAGCTGTGATCCCACCACCACACTCCAGCCCAGTTGACAGAGTAAGACTCGGTCTCCCCCCACCCAAAAAAAAAGACAAACCCTGGAGTTAGCCTGCTCCGTTTGAAATCTTGGCTCTGCTACTTGCAACCTATGTGAATTCAGGATATTTACTAACATCTTGGGGTCTCTGTTTTCTCATCCTTAACAAGGGAATGACAGTTATAATACTCAGCACATGTGTAAGTATTAAGTGTATACTACTTAGAATAGCAAACCTGAGTAAATATTAACTACAAGCTCATTCAAAGCCAGTTGTGAGACTGTGAACAAGTCATTTAGCATCACAGCATTTGAGTTTATCCATAAAACGTCTACTTAATAATTAGAGCTACAATTCACAGAATGCTTGTTGTATGTAACAGGGCCTTATTTGTCCCATTTTACTGATGAGGAAACCAAGCCTCAGAAATTAAGTAACTTGTTCAAAAATGTCAGAGTTGGTTGGGGTGGAGTCAGCATTAGGACAAAAATCCATCTGATTCCAATTCCTTGTTTTCCCTACACACGGTCTTTTAGGCTCCCAGCTTCAGAGACCTGGTGTCTCTCAACTTCAGAAAACAGCCCTTTTCAGTTAGTTCAGGCTGCCAGCAGGCGGCTCCAAAAATCATTTTAAAAAAAGAAGCCTGCAACTTTGATGATCTAACTTCTAAATTTGTGTACAGTTGTGGCTTATTCACAGTTTCAGGAAATCAGGTGGCTAAATGTACCGTCATTGAAAAGCAGCCTCAGAATTATCCTTCTCTTTTTATCCCACCCTCTTCCATTACTTAAAAAAAAAAAAAGCAGATTCTAGTAATTTAAAACGGATTTTGAACTGCAGAAAAAACCAAGCCAAGAAAGCTGTCTTTGCTTGTTCCACTTATATGAAGACTGTTCAACTAGTATGCAAGGGAAGCTATTCCCCCAGGGACCCACCCTTGCCTGCCCTGAAGGCTGAAAGAGTGGACAAAGACAAGAGTAAGTGGTAATTCACAGCTGATAATCTTGAATTTTGAAAGCAGGGCCATTCCCAAGAGACATAGCAGGAAGCAATGGCAGAAAAGAACAAAAGATAGGATGAGAAAACTAGACCTTGTTCACAGAAATTGGTAAGGTCCTGGTTCCAGGCAGGAGCCTTTTAAAATTATGCTGCCAGTTCATTATTATATTGATTGCGACTTAAAAGCTTCCCAGTGCTTTCCACATCTGCAAATGAAAATGTATTTCAATTACCACGCTGGTGATTTCAGGATCTTCAGGGAACTCATTATGACCTCTGTTCAATGACCTCAAGGGTCAGTTTTCCCCCTTTTCCCAAAACTATTGTGCATTGAGAAAAGGTTCTTTTAGCCAGGGGATGCCCCAGTCCTTGGGAGTCACAGATGTAAAGAAGCTCTTCCTTAATCCACTCCGAATTGGAATTAACTACTGAACAGATATGATCAGGAAATACAAGCAAAACAAAGGCTGTCCCGGTAAAATTCGGCTGCCACTTTAAAATACAAACATCGTTTCCTTTTAACAGGCTGTGTGGCCTTAAGCAACTTACTTAACCTTTCTGTGCCACGGGTTTCCTACGTGTAAGATAACCGGGCCTGTTTCACAGGGTTATGAGAATCAACTGGGGCTATAAAGCAAAGTCCGCAGCATAGTATATGGCACATACTCAGCACTCAGCAAGCGTGAGCGATCCAAAGGATCTCAATGTTAACAGGCAAAGAAAGCGCTCTTTCCACAGGTGCAACGCCAAGTAGCCAAGAGTAAGATCAAGCTGGGTCAAGGGACAAGCCGCGGGGGCCGGTGGCCGGGTCACCGAGCGGGTTCCCCGTAGGCGCAGGGCCTCCGGAGTTGGTGGGCAGGCGCGGGGGACGGGATCGCAGGGCCACAAGCCCAAGTGCCGCTGTCTCGGGAGACGCGTCCCGACTGCGGCCGCCGGAGCCCCGATGCCGAGTCCGGAGCTGGCGGCCCATCCAACGGCCGAGCGCAGGCGGAGGAGGAGGAGTGGAGGGAGGAGGAGGAGGAGGAGTTAGAGGAGGTCCCGCCGCGGCCAAGGAAAGGAGGCAGAGACCAAACACTCAACCGCCGCCCAGCGCCGGGGCCCGGCTGGGCCCTTGTCAGGGTCGCCGCCGCCTCCGTCAGCCTCCGTCCGCGCCCTGGGCCCCGGGGGCCGCCGCCGACCGACCGACGGGGTGGGCAGCCGCGCCCGGCGGCGGCGAGGGGAGGCAGCGAGGGGCTCGGAGAACGCGCAACCGGCGCCCCGAGGGCAGCGCTCCCGGCCGGTCCCACCGGGCTCTGGAGCGGGCAGCGCCGCCGCCCCAGTCGGCAGCGAGGCGGCCCTAGACGCCCGCCCGCCCCCCGGCACTTACTGGGCCCGGGCCGCGCGGGGCTGCGTGGGGAAGGAGGCGGCCGCCGGCTCGGCGGGAAAGGACGCGGGCGGCGCGGGGCTGCTGAGGTAGCTGCAGCGGGGTCGGGCTGCGCTGCGTCTCCCTCAGGTCCCCGGACGGCGCGCGCGGGGCCGGCTCCAGCCCTCGGGTCGCTGCGCCCAGACCGGCCAGTCCAGGTCCTTTTGTTGTTGTGCAGCGCTCGCAACAGCTGATCGGCCGCTCCGCCCGCCGTCGGGCCCCGCCGCCCCGCCCCGAGCCGTGCCGCGCCAGGCCGGGCCCCACCAATCGGCGGCGCGGGGGCCCCGGGGCCGCCCTGCGAGAGGTTGTCACCAACGCACGTGACCTGGCGCCCGGCCCGCGACGAGCTCCGCTCCGAAACAAGCCCGGGCAACAAAACCCGGGAGCCCAGCGCGGAGGCCGGGGCGAGCGGAAGGGTGGGAGAGAGGGGCTAGGCCGGGGAGGGGAGCGCCGGGGCCGGGGCCGGCTTCCCGGCAGCGGGCGGGAGCGGGGCGCGGAGGAGGTTCTGCCCCGCGACGTAAGGGCAGAGGGGGAGCTCGCCCTCAGCGACCCCTCTGGCCGAGTGAGAGGTCCTTTTGGGGCACGAAGGACGCGGAACGTTTTTTCCTGTGAGAGGAACGTTAAGGACCCTGGGAGGGCTGGGGCTAACGCCTGCGAGAGCCCCACCTGGCCAGCTTGTGGGTAGACGTGTAGCCGGGGTGCCAGGGGCTTGGGGGTGCGCCGCTGCTGAGCCCAGTTAGAGGAGCGGAGACCACTGAGTCACCGAGCCGGGGCCCACCTGCTGTAGAAACCGCCACTGAGACCCGGCCGGGCCTGCTGTAGGTTCTGGATGCCGCCTGCCTATGGGCGAGGCAGAAGGGACTGCGAGACCAGGCCTGAAGGCAGAGAAGTCAGCCGGCTTGGGGGCCTCTGCTCCAGCGGACAACACGAGCACCCTGTGGGAGCGGCCACTTCCCCAGGCAGGCGCTGCAGCCCAGCTCTCATAGTAACCCAGGGAACTTAGCGCTCTGTTCCGTTTGCATACCTGCAAATAAAGTGTGGGCATTCATGCCTGGCCTGCCAACTCTCCAGGTTATTTATAGTGACAAGAGAGTGAGACAGTGGGCTTGAAAGTGTTTTCCAAACCAAGGCTCTGTCCACATATAGGTGGATTAACTGGCAAAGGCAGGTGAGTCACGTTGATGCCTGTCAGCTCTCATGTGGATCCTGTTTGGACTGCGATGTAGTTCTCTGAGCCGGGGTGAACTGTATAGCAAGCCTCGAGGAAAGCCTATCATGCATTACAGTATCTGAAAGACACTCACATTGTGACCTTCAAAGGAATCCTGTAGTCAGTCCATTTCCAACAATACTGGTTTTAAAGGATGTAAATTGCAGTGCAGGGAATTCTCAGACACCAAGGAGTAATGATCAAAATATGGTGGTCAGTGGACCTTATCTTGGAAGAAAGAACTAAAATTGTGATCTAGATAGTCTCACAGAATTGAACATGCTTTGGATTTTAGGTTTTTGCAAATCAGGCTCGTAATATTTTCTCCCAAATACTATGGTAGGAGCCCCGTGATCTCTTGTTTCTCTCTAGGAATCCATCTAAGATGCCATCTCCACATTGAGAACCAAAGTATGATGACAATTACAAGGAGCTAATTTTTAAAAACTAAAAAAGGCCTACCTTTTTCTTTTCTTTTTTTTTTTTGAGACGGGGTTTCACTGTTGTTGCCCAGACTGGAGTGCAATGGCACGATCTCGGCTCACCGCAACCTCCGCCTCCTGGGTTCAAGCAATTCTCCTGCCTCAGCCTCCCGAGTAGCTGGGACTACAGGCACGCACCATCATGCCCAGCTAATTTTTGTATTTTTAGTAGAGACGAGGTTTCACCTTGTTGACCAGGATGGTCTCGATCTCTTGACCTCGTGATCCACCCGCCTCGGCCTCCCAAAGTGCTAGGATTATAGGCATGAGCCACCGCGCCCGGCCAGGCCTACCTTTTTCTAGTTTGAGAAGGCTTAGCACGGTTAAAGCAACATGTGAAATCATATGATCTTGTTATGATAGGAAAAAACCAATATGAAGTAGATCATTTTTCCACAGATGACCACAACAGTATTCCCTTCATCATGAAGGTCTATTTTTTCTTCCCTTTGAATCTGGGCTGGCCCTGTGATTGCTTTGACCAACAGAATGTGGCAGAAAGAATGTTCTGGGACTTCCAGGCCTCGGCAGTAAGCAAACCCGAGAGCTTCTGCTTTGTACTTTGGAAAATGCCAGCCACCCATACGGAGAGACCACCCTGCTGTGAGGAAGACCACGCTACCCACAAGGAGAGGCCATGTGAAAAGACAGAGATGCCAGGCCAGCTCTAGCTCTTCAGCTCATCCCAGCTGAGCTACCAGACACATGAGTGAAAAAGCCCTTAGGAAGTTCCAGCTCCAGCAGACACCATATGGAACAGTTAAACCATCCCCACAGAGTCCTGCCAAAATGACAGCATTGTGAACAAATAAATGATTGTTTTAAGGCACTAAATGTTGGGGTTTAAAGCAGCAATAGATAACCAAAACACAGAGCTAACAAAAATGCCTGCCACAGATCAATGTCTCTAAACTCCACCAAGTAGAGTGTTTGTGATGAAAACATCTTAACTCAGGAGTCGCTTGCTTTCTGTTTGTGGTTCATTTATGATCTTCCCACCTGGTGCTTGTTTATCCCAGTGGCAAGGAAGGAGTGACTGGGGGCAGCACAGGCAAGTCTGGAGGGAGGAGTACTTTACCACTGACATTATTTGGAATAATAAAAAGCAAACTGACTTTTAGTCAATTTTATTTTAAAATTCTTTGCAGACACACAAATTTACTGTGTACTGCCTGTACCTGGAGTGGATCATTCCCATTGCCTCCCTCCCTGGTATGCTACTAGTTTACATTAAGTGCTTGCAGTGAAACTTAGGAGTAATGTCATCTCCACAGCATAGAGCTGTCTGAACACAACCAAACTGTCAAATCACACAAATGCAAGCCAGCTTTTCATCTGTTCACTGACAAAGGCCCAGCCAGGTTCCCTGCCTGGGCAGATCCAGTGAATCCAACCATCCTTTAATTCACAGAATAATTCTTAGCATGTTGCTATAGTACCCACTTCCAGGCTGACCCCTTGCTGTGGGGGTGACCCTTTCCCCATCTGTCAAGAGTCCTCCTGTCTGTTTTCCGTGGAGCTCAATACACTCCCTTATCTACCCTAACAAAAGGGATTCAACCTCAAGTTTTGTTTTGAAGGCTCACAATATAGGACCACATTCACACCAACAACCAGATACAATGCAACTAATGCCTCTGCCTCCTGCTTACAAAAGCAGACTGTGGCCATCACCCTGCCGGTTACATCGAGGCTGCTAAAGAATGTTGTTTCCTACCAACCCATAGGATGGCTACTCCGGGCAGCCTCAGAACACAAAGCAACAAGTTCAGTCTGTAATGAGGAGAATCCCAAAGTGAAGTCCACTTAGGTCATTTTCTATCTACCCATCAACAGGATTGGCTGGGCTCCTACCATGGACACGACATGCTGCCAAATGTCTGGGAAAGACAAGAATTTTTGTGAATTGCATTTTAGATAAACAATCAGTTAGCATTCCAATGACATCCATTGTCTTTAAGAGAAGGAAAGAAAGGGTCTGTCTGGGTCTCCAGAAAGCCTGGAACAGAAAGAAGCAAGAAATTCTGCGATCTCTGCTTTCTGAAATAAAAACAAAACAGACATCTAACTGGGCTGCCAGTTACCATCTCAGGAAGGAGTCAAGAATTATAGCTTTTCAAGACCCTGCAAACTTTGTGACTTTTTTATGTTTGTCTGTTTGTGTAACCCTATTTCCACATGGTGATTAAAATAAAAAACTTAAAATAAAAAGGATCTGTGTGCTGGCTGAGGCAGCAGAAAGGAGAAAGTAGGCGGGCACACATCATTCAGTCACCAGTGCTAGGGAGGAGTCCCCAAGAGCTGGGGTAGCCTGCTCTGGATTGTGGCTGACTGACGATTGCTCCAGGCCTAGAGGATTTTCTCCAGTTTCTGGAAAGTCCTAACTTTCAAGGCTTCTTAGTTTCTGGGTGAATGTACAGATAAGAACCCAATTATTGAGATTAAAACTTAGAGCAGTGTCTGGGCACAGTAGCTCATACCTGTAATCCCAGCACTTTGGGAGGCCAAGGCAGGCAGATAACCTGAGATCAGGAGTTCAAGACCAGCCTGACCAACATGGAGAAACCCTGTCTCTACTAAAAATACAAAATTAGCCAAGTGTGGTAGTGCATGCCTGTAATCCCAGCTACTCAGGAGGCTGAGGCACGAGAATCATTTGAACCCAGAAGGTGGAGGTTGCGGTGAGCTGAGATTGTGCCACTGCACTCCAGCATGGGCAACAAGAACGAAATTCTGTCTAAAAAAAAAAAACAAAACTTAGAACAGAAAGCAAGGTCATCCCTTAATGGATATGGCCTAGAGATGTGATACAGAAGGGCCCTTCATACACCACCCCAGCTCCAAGGAGCCCTGAAGCTTGAAGAGGCGCATTGTGTGGGGCAGACGTGACTCGGTCTTGGGCGGTTGTCGGAGGTTAGCTGAAGTGTGTGAGCAAAGGTCTTTTAAAACTCCTGCTGCCAAAGCGACTTTTTCACTCACACTGCTACT